GACCTCCACCTGGTTTAAGTTCTTCCATGGTTTTCTGGCAAAGTAAACGGCAGTATCTAGCTCTGAGACCAAACTGACGCATTAGTAGCATATGTTGGAGCCCATCAAACATTCCCCCTTACGCTATCTATGTGATTACAATACTCTAAATCATACCTCTACTAAATCCACTTGAACAGAATTTGACCTTCTTCCCGATGGATCTCTCTGATTGGCCCACATGCTCTCCCTCATCAATACTCTTCCTCTTGTGTCTCCATACCCTACTAAGTAATCTAATAATCAATTTTTGCTCTTCTAGTTTGTTCCACTAATATTGAGTATTCATTGACCCCAAAGGCACCGATAGCTAGTTGATTGAATCCTTTAATCAAAAAAGAAATTATAACACTTTTCTTCTGCAGTAACGATCAATTGTAGCACATACCTTAATTGTGCAGTTAATTCCACTTCATATTGCATGATTTTTTTCTCTTTGTACCAATCTGATGAGTCTGTGATGTTTGTCTTTAAGCAGATAGGGATACAAATTACTCCTAAAAAGTTCCACAATCTCCTCCCAGCATAGCATCATATTGGGCACGTCCTCTAGTGTGTCTTGAGGTTGCCCACGCCACCACCTTTTAAATTCTCCATCCAACACAAATATAGCTAATGACACTTTTCTTTCATCCGACATGCCACTATCAAATATCTTCTCAATTCACATCAATCCATTTTCTACGTCAATTGAATATTCAATTCCCTGAAAAATGATGAACGCAAATATTGAAATATCTTTTAAGTACTTATCCACAGAAATGATCTCATTCCTACCAAACAGTGTTATAGACTTCTGAATCAACTAAGTCAACAACACCATCATATAGGTCGGGGCATTTGTGTTCATATTTATAGCAAGTGGTACTCTTCGTTTCCATTTGTGCTTTTCTCATTCTCCAACCTCAGGTGCATCCATTTGCCTGAATTAAAAATATGATTTAAATAGTGTTAACTTAGATTTTCAACTTTATTATTACTAATTTCTTTGTAATTTAAGGTGCATCAATTTGCCTGATTTAAAAATATGATTTAATTAGAGTTAACTTAAAGTTTCAGTTTTATTATTATTAATTTCTTTATATCTAATCGTACTTATCCACAACAACTATCTTATTCCCACCAAACTGTGGTCTGGATTTTTGAATCAATGATGTCAACGCTATCATCATCTGCATCAGAGTATATGTATTCACAATTATAGCATGTGGTATTTCTTAATTTCCAATCGGGCTTCCCTCTTCTCTAACCTTTAGTGCATCCATTTGCCTGAATTAAACATATAATTTATTAAGTGTTAACTAAAAATTTTAATTTTTTTTATTATTATTAATTTCTTTGTAATTATTGTACCGCACTTTCATCAAGATTACATTTATTAGTACTGAACTTTTATCAGATATCACTTTTGTCACGATTTAGTTACAGCTTAAAATTAAACAAGACGGATAAAAACGGTTAGACGGTCAAAAAATAATTTTTCTATATTCATTTTCTACAATCATAATTTTACAAATGAAATAGTCGCCAAAAATAAGAAACTTTAACTAAAACAGTGATAAATTTACCTCAGGTCAGGTTGTCCGTGTCTTTATAAATATTTTCCTTTCTATTGCACTTTTTTTAAATTAATTAATTAAACCTTAAACGTTAGTTTAAAATAGCAGTGAACTAATCATAGTCAGTGACTACTCATACTATTAAACTATAGTAATACTATAGAAAAAGACAATATGCATGCGAATTAAACTTTATATAAATCGATGTAAGAGAATTTAAGGGTTTGTATTACCCAATATAATTATTTAAGCTAACTCTAAATATTTATTGTCTTACTGTATTACTCATTTACAAATTAATATATTTTAATCTGTTTATAACCATCACAGAAGCATTGTCTAAACTTACACCACTGAAGATACATCAACATCAATATCCATTTAAATTTACAAAATGCATAATAGTAGCTATCACCAAAATATAAAATCATCACAATAGTATAACCAATAAAAAGAACATATAAATTCGAATATAACTTGACAGTTGAATTTATAGGCAACATTAATTATCAATGCAACTGATTAAGAAGAAAAAAATGCTACTACTAATCAAAAGTAAGAATACTCACCTCAATTTTATTTTATGAGATGATCTAATTCAAATCCTTTAATTTTCTCATTCATTGCTTGACATTTCTAACATGGTTATATTTCATAACAATCTGATATGTAGAAATTAAAAATTAAGCCACCAAAACGCAGTTTACCCAAACAAGCCATGTGCGTTTTCAAAACGCCACCGCACCAAATAAGCTGCCCCAAACGAACCCTTAACCCACGTGAAAAACCCCCTTTTATGATGTCATAGCTTCCTTCTCTTCTACGTCGTACAGGATGTGAACGCAACCCTCCTTTCCTTTCTTCCTTCGACAGCAAGTAACATGAAGCACAGTCACCGCCACTCACGAGACTCCTCACCGCCACTCACGAGACTTCTCACCCTCAAGCGACTCTTCTTCCTTTCAGCTCCCTCTACTGTGGGATCGTCCAAGCAACAAGTTTGACGCTCTCGCTAGCGTTGCCTTCCTCCAGCGCAATCTTTGGCATGGTGAAGCACAAGCTTGCATGCGTCGTCAACCTTTTAGCAATCGTATGCGACAATCGGCTCCCCAGATAAGCCGTTCACAATTGGAGTTGGCTTCTACTACCTTCAGCTTCGTCCCTCGTAGGCGAGAACTCCCATTTCTTTTTCTTCTTTATTCTCCTTCTCTCACTATCAATCTCTCAGAGTTTCCTTCATTCTTTTCTGACTCCTATCTCGTTCTCGTTGTTCATTCGCTTCGAAAGGAACACTTCTCCTTAAAACAAAATTGTCAAGGCATTTTGTTCTCACCCAAAACGACTGCACATGATTGAAACTCCTAATATTAATAAAGTTATTATTAATTTCATTTATTTATTCAGATATTACAAAATAGTCTTCAATCTTAAATAACATTAATGGTTGTCTTATTGAATCCTTCAATTCGGAAAGAAACAAGTGTCATTTCACCTCTACGTTTGGAATGAGATGTGCATATCTTAATAGCATGATAAACTCCGCTTCATATTGCATGATCGATCGATCTACCTAAACTTAATAAATTTATTCTGTAATTGTCTCCTGGCTGATAGTGATACAAACCAATCTTCAAATATTCAAATGAACTCCTCCCATTGTACCAAGTGACTAGGCCGACTGCTAAATTTCTCCTATAATTGCCCTTGCCACCATCTCGCACTTTCCCCCTCAAAAGACAAATGTAATAAGGGTGGCTTTCCTCTCTAGTAGACATATCAAACCATTGATAATTTTCTCATCAACCAGTCTTCAGCTTCCACCACCCTCATACTCTTGAAAATTAAGCCAGTTGCATATTTTGAAAGAGTTACAAGTTCTTATTTATCTGTGTTGCCTCATTGTTACTAGCTTGAAAATGAGAATTTCTAATTAGTTGAGTCACATCGTTCATCATGCCAAAAAAGACAAGAGCCCAACTATGATATTCTATGGCATATTAGTTACTATATTATCATTCAAGACTTTTTCCTTCTAATTAACCAAATTTCTGAAAAAAGATTAAAACAATCTAATTACACTACAATAATAAGAGCTAAAAGCAGTAGAAAAATCAATGGTCACGAGCATGCCCGCTGTTCTATCAACTTTAATAATGGTTTTTCGATAAACGTCAAAACCGATGACTTTTTGATGACAGTGACCGTGGGTTATTACTAAATTAATAACCAGTGGACTTGAAATGATAACCGATGGGTGAACCGTCGATTAATAAAAAATTAAAAGCCGCTAGTCGATGATGGTCGGTAAGCCGTTGTAGGCGCTTAATATACAAATCAGTGACCTAAAATTCATACATTCATAGTACTAGATGGGAACACCAAGTACTCATGCACGTAATTGAAGAAATGTTATTAAAATGATATACCTTAATTAATAAAATTTAGAAGGTACACTTATGACAGTTGTGCATATAACATGATATAGTATGATACATTAAATATTTTGAGTTCATAAATGATCATATTTGAAAGGTAAAATCTCAAAGGATTTTATATCAAATCATTGTATTTTTTACTGACATGTATATTATTTTTTTCTATTATATTGTTGTAATTTAGAAGTCAGAGTATTCACCGAATTGTTGATAACTCACAAAATTTTAAACTAACAATTTCCTGTATAACACTGAACTAGAAAATGAATTTAAAAAAAGATAATGCAAAAAACTAAAGAAAGATAAATCCCAACAGGTTTTTTCTTTTTTTTTTTTTTTTGCCAAGTTAAATTATATTTTTTAGGACCACCTTTAATTTATTTGGAATGTAAATGGTTTGTGATAGAAAATTAAAAATAAAAATTTTAACTTTACCATCCAATCATCTGTTCCCTCCTTTGAAATTTTGAGCCCCCAGGTCGAGTCGTCACAAAGCCTAGGCGTGATCTTTAATCATCATCATTAAATTTTGAGAAAGTTTTCCTTTTTACTTCCATTAAGCTGAAAATATTCTCATAGCATCTGGCTCATTTTTTTCGAAATATCTACAAATTATTTATGTTGTTTTGAATAGCATACAAAAATTAACAAACGGAATGTAACTTTCCTAAACATTCTCAAAAATCCACCACCACCAACCACTCATGTCCTATAATGCCCACATTCGTTTCAAGAAAATTGATCTCCTACTGGTACAAGTAGTTGTACAAAGTTTACGTTTATCAATGATCCTATGACTTTGGCTTTTAACCACCAAAAAAAACCAAAGACGTTTAACGAAACTTAGTAGAAACAAGTACAACTTCTAGATATGGCCCATGTTCAGAGAAATTTTAATGAACCAAAGAAATGAAGCAAAACTCAAAGTACAAGGTGCATAATAATCATCCAGACTTGACCCACAAACCTTGCCTGTGAAACCAATATTTATTGGCAAATCATCAGTTGACTGCAGCATCATTTGCATATGGAATGGAGCAGGTGTACAGGTGGTCGCACGAGTACCATCAGCAGGTCCTGTCCCACCTCCCACCATTGTTGTGATACCTGCATTAATATTATTATACTTACATCAAGTTTAGACTTGATCCAGAAATATCACCGGCAAAGCATACTTAAGAAATCAATGATAGGAAATTAACTCTGCATTAATCCAAATATTCCATATTACACCAAAAGTACCCCACATGCCAAAAAATTCTTGCGTAACACAACATTTTGCTAACAAAAAACTGTTGTGGATATGCTTTGCAAACTTAAACTAGCATCCAAACCAACTATTTCAAGAAGAATAGTTCACAATTTAAAAAATCTAAAATATCTTTGTACCATAAATGAATTGTAATATGAAAACATTAAAATAGTCATCTGAAGAGAATTTTAAATTTTAGAATAAGTACATAAATAAAATAAGAAAATATATTAATAAAATGAGTATTATCATTGCCAGAACTTTATGCTTCAATTTTCCCTAAGATTAAAACTTAGCATTATAGTTTGTCATTTTGAATTCACAATCTTGTGATACTAGAACTCTAACAAGTCAATATAACTCCAATTTAGTTATTACATTTTTGAAAAATAAGCATAACTTCAAAGTTTAATATCACAACCAAACCATGTCTCACATAATGTCTGTCAACAAAATCTCACAAGAAACTCAGTGATCTAAAGGGTTCCCTACCTTACACTTAATAGGCCTGCAACAATACTTAGCTCAAAGCATTTCTTTCATTTTACCTATATATTGATTTTGTATTTGCTCCACTGCGAGAAGCTAAATGTAATGTAAAAGATTGCCAATGGATGTGATACCACAAAAGACATATCTGAGACATATTGATTAATCAAAATCAAACAATTATCACTTAATTTGAGAAAAAAATGCATCAATGCATGCGAAGCATTGAAATTACCAAAGGAAGGTAGCTCAACTAAGCACACAAAGCAGCAGAGGATGAATGCCAAGCCACATAAGTCAAGATTGTAACACCTCTACCATAGCCAAAACCGCCTGAGGATCGTCCATTATGTGAAACGGACTACATTGATGCATCCAAAATATCAAGATTGACTAAAAAGAACATCTGTATAGTTTAAAATGAAAATGAAAAAAAGATAAAAATCTACTCAAGAATTGTATATTCAACATAATACAAACATAGCATTGCATAAAAAGTGAACGTTAAAATTGAAAAATGAAATTTTGCATGCATCTTAACAACATGAAATACGCACAAATAATTCAAATCCAAAAAATTTTAAGCTCCCTATGGATGTCACAAGGCAATCTTCAATCCAAAATCAATGTCTCAAAAAGCATGCTAATGAACTAAAAATTGTGCAAATGTATCGTGTAAGTGCATCAAAAAAATATTCAGGTGCATTAAAATGGTGCCCAAAAAATCATAAAAGAGCATTATATAGGTGCACTAAAAATTAAGACAATATTGCCAAAAGTATACTAGTAGGCTGCATAAATGCAAATATTGCCAAAAGGAATTCTATGATCCCCACTTATGCGAGATCTGGACAAAATTTGCCTCATGATACAAAAGCGGAAAAATTCTAGCCTACAGACTAGTGCCAGGCCTAAATGCCCCTTTTTATAATAATTGAAATAGAATTAGAGTTATTTTAAGGGGGAACAATTAATATGTTATTATTTTTTCTAAGTATGGGCTTTTCATTGATTTGTTCTTTGCAATTCTCCTATTCAGAGAGTTTTATTCTATTCTTCTTTGAGTGATGAGTGTATACCATGGTGAGAACATTTGGGAGAGCCTTTCCCCATCTATACTTTGCCACGTGAGTTGCTGCCCCTTGCTTCCTTATTGTTCTTCAGCCTAACCGCCAAACGTTTTCAACCCCAAACCAAACTCTGTCGATGCCACATATTCTCTTTCTATTACAATTCCACAACCTCTACCAACTAAATTTGATCATGAAAAACCTTTTAAAAATCATAGAACGGTATCATTTGATATCAGAGCCAAATCCTAATTTCAATTCCTAACTCTAACCCTAAAATTTCAAAATTACATTTTCCTAACTCCATTCAAAAATCTATCCCTACACCTACCAACTAAATCGTAAGGAAAATGGTAACTCATTATGCCGGCAGGGAAGAACCCTCAACAAGATGCTCAGGAGAATTGTCCCTCAACAAGATGCTCAGGAGAATTGTCTTGTAGGATATGCAAGAGAAAAGCCACCAATTACAATGGAGACTCATGATTCTGAAAAGAGACAACAATAGAAAATCACCCACAACAATAATGATGACTACTCGGAATGTCATGACCTGGCCCAATGCTTGAAATTTTTAAAGAAACACACGATCGGATGATAAAAATTCAAATTTAATTACTAATTTTAAATTTAAAAATAACAAAAGAGCCATAAAAAATAAGTAAAAAATCAAAACAAATGTTACCAAACATTGCATTATTATTGTTCCATCTATAATACACAACATATTTTCTTTCACTAATTTATCTAAAATAGTAAATAATAAAATAATATTGTCTAATATTTGTGGGTGTAATTATAATTTTAAACTACCATAAATCAATAAAAAAAGGCAATATATGTATTGGATTCTCCCATCATATAATAATTTAATTTTATTAATGATATTTCTCACTGAAGGAATTCAAAGTTTTCATACATTAACTTTCATTTTATTTTTTGAGGTTCAGTCTTTTAACTTTTATTACACTTCTCACCCTTATACATCCGTCTTGTAAGAACCATCTAAATATACCCTAATTCACTCTTATCTGATATGTATCATAGCATCACAACGGGCATAAAATAAGTCTATTATTGTCCGAGGTGAAAATGTATCTATTATTATATCAAGTGAAAAGCTTCCTACTCATCCCCGACCAATACATTCCAATCGGCACTGAGATGTGTGATCTTAATGTCATAATTATCTAAGGTAACAAACAAATATTTATGCGGGTATAATGGCATCCCTAATCAGTAGTATAAAGAAGTGAACTTTGTCTATCATCATATACGTACAATCATTCTGACAAACTTTGATTCCATTACATTCTTAATAGCATGCAGCATTTTCTTATGAGACATATATGATTGTCAACTAAAGAATATGTCTTTCTAATAGAATCTAAAAATTCATGTTATATACAAAATCCATTATTTAATACATATCTCATTCATTGATATAAAGCATTAATATGAAGAAATGAAATAAAAATTATATTCAGAAGTAAAAAAAAATTGTAATTTAATATCATAATGAAGTAAGAAAAAATAATTGTAATTTAAGATCATAATTACTCACATTAGTTATCAAGCTAAAATCTCAACCATCGGATAATAAGTTCGGCGACTTGATAATACTTACTTTGATGACGCTATGAACTTATAAAAGATAATATCAAAATTTTGTTAATTAAATTAACATATTAAAAGAATAATATTTTAATCCCATTTTAATTATGATTACCCTTCATTATAATTAATGAAAACAAAATTTTATCAAAGTGAGAGTTTATTTTAAACTTATTGATTTTCATCCATATCTAATTTTTATGGTTAATAATAATACTAAAATAATAAACCTATCTCTTAAAATTGTACTCCCATCTCAAAATCAAAATAATTAATAAACATTGAATCAATACAAATTGCTTGATTTAAGAATTTCATAAGCTAATTTTAAAGAAAATTTTATATTAAATTAATTTAAAACTAAAATCATACATAAGTTAGTCATATAATCTCAATTATCTTAATTGATAGGATTATGCAAAAATAACCTTAATTTAATATCTAGTATTTAATATCTCAAATTGTTGCTAATTTCTAATTACCTTATTAACCATGAAACTGTTATTTTTTATATTAAAATTATGTTAAAACAATTTAAAACTTCTTTACATTTAAATATTTATTAAAGCAAAATAAACTTTAATCAATTCAACAAACACATATAAGGTTAGAAAGAAAAATTATGGAATAGAGTTTTATCTTCAAATGAACCAATATCCATATCGATCTCAACTTCACCACTTCTTTTCTTTATTTACCGTTCAATTAAAAAGTACACCTTAGCATAGAATCCTAAAGCTAATAAAAAAAAATTAATCTAGGGTTAATCTTTACCTTTTAACAGAGACTTTAATAAGAAAAGCTTATTATTCTTTCAAAATCAATGCAGCTACAACAAAAGTTTCAATTCCTCTAACTGGAGGCTCAAAAATTACAACACCCCACAAGTTTCTGTTCCTGTATGATCCTAATAGTTCCTGAATCCGTCCTTATCTGAATAACAAAAGTCAGAAATCTCATCATTCTCTATCATCTGTATTTGCATGCATTCATGTAATAGTCTACTTATCACAAAACATAGTCAATGAATACTTGCAAATGATAATTTCATACATATGCTCATCATATAAGTAAAATGGTAACAAGATTATAAACATTATCAATGTCAGCTCAAGCTTGCATTCGTGCTACTATGTGCAGACATTCACAATATAAAGAAATTCAAAATACAATCATATGTCAATAAGAATAACATAAAAATCCTACATAAATTTATTATTATTTATTAAATATAGCATTATTTCACCTCAATCGAGAAAACAACCCAATATTCAAGCTGATTGCCTAGTGTGATCCACCCAGAATCATAATCCTTTAGAGATTTCCTCCCATAACCTCCTCCACCAACTATGACAATATGTGACACTGGTTGTAGGAGATGAGTGTCGATAAAAGGTATCTCATAAAATTTTCAACTGGAGAAGAGCTATAAGATCATATATGGTGTAATATTGTGTCTACAAATTTATGCCATATTGGGCTGATTATGACAATATGTGACACGGGAGCTCCCGCTTTCGCAATTTTCATGGAACTGTGGAATAGCTAGAATTCCACAATGTCATTTGGACCTCTGAAACGGGAACTACAAATTCCCGTGATCGCGAGAATACTATTGCGTCAAGGACACCATCTCGTTACCTATTTCGTCCCAATTTCTTTCATTTCAAATTTTTTTTCTTCTTCGTTATTTCTAATTAGGCTATTTTCAATTTTGGAACTTTAATATATGAATACTTTTCTTATTTTGTGATATTAGCTTGAGTTATGTATTTCGAGAGTTTAATATCATATTATATGACATTTGGAGTGTTGTATCATTTCCCTTTATAAGTGGTGTGTTAGTATTTTGCCTTAGAATAGGTGATGGGTCTCCTTCGATGTTCGCACTTCGTTGTTTCATCGTTCGGTTGTTGTTATCAATCCGTGTTGTGGCCATATAAATGCAACATAAATCAGCATATTTTTAATTTTTAAGGAAAACGTAAAAGCATCATATCAATTTAAACAAAAATAATTTAAAAATTGGGTTGTCTCACGCACACTTCTTTGTTTATAGTATTTAGCTTTACTTGCTAAAGCATTATTAGTTGGGATAACCTAACATGTCATATTTCTTATATTATTATATGTGATCTCTGAAATAAGAATTCAATATTTGTCTATTTACCTTAATTATAGGGACAATTTTTTTTTCACAATTTCAACAACTCCATATAGGAATGCTTTCACTACAGTAAATTAACTTGACCACCTAAACTTTAACTTAAAAGAAAGCAATTTTATAATTGAATCAAACAATAAGACTTTATTTTCATGTGTGAATTGCGTTTTAATAATATTCCAATCATCACACCTTTTAATTTTTTTTCTTTGCAAATTTGGGCATTTTCATATGCTTGAAATCCAATCTCATTTACTTTTTTTAAATATACTAGTCATTTTCCCCAACATTTTTCAGATTATAATTGAATGACTTAACTGACCAAACTGCCTTATTTTCTAAATCGAAGGATAAATGATAAGCATTCCCAAAAATTAGCCTACGAGAACACAACACTATTGGAGTTTCAAAAGCAGCCTTATAAGCACAAAAAAATATAATCTACCCCCAAGTGAACAATCTTTCC